ATGAGCCCTTAAAAGGGCCTGGGCACTTCTTGGTCAAAGAGATCTGAAACATGAAGGAGACTCAATATGCTGCATATTCTCCCTTACTGGCTGTCAGGATGGAGGGGGCCACATGGCAAGGAACCAAGAAAGTTCTCTAGGAGCTGACAGCAACCCCTAGCAAGCATGACAATAAATTCTGCCAACAAACTGAAAGTGTTTGGAAGGGGAGGCACTAGATAAGAATGAGCCAGCTGATACCTTAAGTGTGAGACCCCCAGCAGAGAAGCCAGATGGGCCGTGCCTGGCTCTCTGACTTACAGAAATGTGAGCTAATGAACGGTGCTGTGTTAAGCAGCTAAATTCATGATAATTTACTATGCAACAGAAAACTAATACACTGTATTCTCTTTTGTGTGCTCTGAATCCCATTTAGTGATGTAAGCATATTATCTTTATGACTTTTTTAAAAAAGGAAGGAAGCACTAGGCTTCCCAGTCATGAAAGTATTCCAGATCAGAAGAAAACTTAAGAGATTTTTGTCTGAAAAGCATATGTTTATTACATAAAAGTTGAACTAAATGGCCTCTAGGATCCCTTCTGGTTCTAAAACTACATGATCTTAATGTCACCGGAACAAAAGAAGTATTTCAAAAATGAGGATATGGTCACCATAATGTAATGCAGAAAAAGGGCCAGAGAAAAAGAGACTAAGCAACAGCCACTCAGTGGATTAGCTACTGAAGATTACTAGTGACTCTGACAGTACTCTCAGCAAAGCATTGAGTTAGAAGGCAGATTCAGAGTAATTCAAAAAACCTGAGAGCAGATAAAATAAATATGAAATACACTTACTACTAGGAAGAGAAAATATATAAAAAGGATGATAGTTTGATGGTCAAATTAAGATCTATCAAAACCATGAGGAACTTGGCAGATATGGAAGAAAAGGCAAAACCAAAGGAGTACAGGCACTGGAGCACAGATCTAAAGGAAATTATTTAATCTTATGAAGTACCCAAGTTTGTACTGTATTTGTAATTTTATTTTTAATTAAAACAATGACTCACCAAGTTAAATTTACTCCCTATTTCTAAATATAAATTTTAATAAGATAATTGTCCTGATTTGACCATCACATATTGTACATTAGTACTGATAGTCAACTCTGTACCCCACAAATANGCAGATATGGAAGAAAAGGCAAAACCAAAGGAGTACAGGCACTGGAGCACAGATCTAAAGGAAATTATTTAATCTTATGAAGTACCCATGTTTGTACTGTATTTGCAATTTTATTTTTAATTAAAACAATGACTCACCAAGTTAAATTTACTCCCTATTTCTAAATATAAATTTTAATAAGATAATTATAGAGATAATGAAGAACTGGAATGCTAATAAATTTGCTGGCACAAAAGCAAAATGGTTCATCACTCTGGAAAACAGCTTGGCAGTTTGTTATAA